GAACAGGGGGTCTTACGGTACTTGCTGCCACCTGCTGGTCACACACTGCGCCTGCTGATGGGAAATAATGAGTTCTCTTTTAGGACTTCAAGAGTAAAAACAAAATGCAACTTTATTGTTTTCATAATTTATCTCCTTGGTGATAAAAGAACTATTTAAATAGACTCCGTAGATGGTCAGAAGCATCTGGACAGTAAAGTGGCGCCTCTGTCTGAACATGAAACACACTTCCTTTCTCAGGCTCCTCCCACCGGAATGGTTTTATTGTTTATGTTATTTTACAATGATTCTTTATTCATCAGAAATCAGAAATGATAACAGAACGTTGGTAAGAATAGAAATATATAAATCTAAAACATAAAGCAGTGTGAACATTCTTTGCAGTCGGCTCCGCAGACGAGACGATCTACTGAGAGCAGAGGAAGAAGAGATGCAGCTGTTGTTTGAACAGAGATCTTTAGAAAACCCTCCTGAGAGAACTGGACCCCAGAGTCAGGATCCATGACGTCGTTACCACAGCCAGGAGCACTAAGAACCAGCGGTACCCATGATCCAGTCAGAACTGAAGAAGTCTCTCTGATGACTTTAACCTTCTTTGGATGACCCTGACCTGGAGGACTGAGACCTTCACAGATTTTGTGTGTAAAGAATCTAAAAATTTAACTTTTTCACGGTTCTAATTTTCGGAGCTGCACCTGCGGACTCACCTGTTTACTTCCTGTCTCATATTCATATGCGTAGTTTCTAAAACCTGTTTCACGTTGAACTCACTGTGCAGCGCTCTGCCACAGTATTATATTATGTTTTAAATGTTAGAGCAGCTGTTTAATAAGTGTTGCTCCACGTACTTCCGTACTCTGCTGTAGTATCTATCTTATCTGGGGGGAGCAGTGACAATAAAGAACCTCCTCCTGTGACTAAATAACACAGCAGCATGTTTAAATGTAGATGATGCTTTTTATTTATTCTGGTTAAACAAACACAGTCCTGTGCACAGAGGAGTACAGACTGAAGGGGGGCACAGAGGACTACAGACTGAAGGGGGGCACAGAGGACTACAGACTGAAGGGGGCACAGAGGACTACAGACTGAAGGGGGCACAGAGGACTACAGACTGAAGGGGGCACAGGGTACTACAGACTGAAGGGGGGCACAGAGGACTACAGACTGAAGGGGGCACAGGGGACTACAGACTGAAGGGGGCACAGAGGACTACAGACTGAAGGGGGCACAGAGGAGTACAGACTGAAGGGGGCACAGAGGACTACAGACTGAAGGGGGGCACAGAGGACTACAGACTGAAGGGGGCACAGGGGACTACAGACTGAAGGGGGCACAGGGTACTACAGACTGAAGGGGGCACAGGGGACTACAGACTGAAGGGGGGCACAGAGGACTACAGACTGAAGGGGGCACAGAGGACTACAGACTGAAGGGGGCACAGAGGACTACAGATTGAAGGGGGGCACAGAGGAGTACAGACTGAAGGGGGCACAGAGGACTACAGACTGAAGGGGGCACAGGGGACTACAGACTGAAGGGGGGCACAGAGGACTACAGACTGAAGGGGGCACAGAGGACTGCAGACTGAAGGGGGGCACAGGGGACTGCAGACTGAAGGGGGGCACAGAGGACTACAGACTGAAGGGGGCACAGAGGACTGCAGACTGAAGGGGGGCACAGGGGACTACAGACTGAAGGGGGCACAGGGGACTACAGACTGAAGGGGGCACAGAGGACTGCAGACTGAAGGGGGGCACAGGGGACTACAGACTGAAGGGGGCACAGAGGACTACAGACGGGGGGGCAGAAGAGAGACAAGCAACACTGATAAGAACAAGTTACAGTAAAATAAAGAGATTGAATATCAAAGATAAAAATCAGTGAAATAAAAGATGAAATCCAGAAGATCGTCTTCAGTTTCCTGTTCAGAGACAAGACGACACATCAGTTACTCACACACATAAACACAGGTGAACGCCGAGCCGGTGATGTTCTGCCTCTGCAGGTGTAGTGAGCAGGTGATCTGCACAATGGCCTGAACTGACTCTGTCATGCTGCTTCCTTTTTGTACAAGTCAGAATTAATGTGCATTACATTACATGACCTAAAAATAAAAAGTGCATTGCAGACCCAGATGATCTGGAAGCTAAGTTTATCAAACTTGCAGCCCACATATTGATGTTTCCTCTTGCAGATCTGTTTCGTCTATCCTTATCTACCTGTACTGTGCCACAAATTTGGAAAGCTGCAAGAGTTACACCACTCTTCAAAGGTGGAGACCAATCTAATGTGAATAATTATCGTCTGATTTCTATCATTTGTGCAGTTGCTGAAATTTTTGAGAAATTCATTTTTAATCAACTAACTTAGTACATTAATAATTATAACATTTTATCTCCACATTAATCTGGCTTTAGATCCAATTTTTCTACTTTAACTGCTCTTGTAAAATTTACAAATGATGTCTTCTTGGGTTTTGATCTGGTAATTTCATTGGTGCTGTTTTTATTGATCTCTCAAAAGCCTTTGACATGGTTGACCATTACCTTCTACTAGATAAGCTTTCCTCTATTGGTCTGAATCAACATGCTTTGGTTTAACTCCTATTTGCATAATAGTGCATAATAGTGTGTTGTTTACCAAGGATTCCAGTCAGATTATTTAATTGTTGATAAAGGTGTTCCTCAAGGCTCAACTTTAGGCCCCTTACTTTTCTCGATCTTTATCAATGACCTGGCACAAGTTTGTTCTCACTGTGAAGTAGAGCTTTATGCTGATGACACTGTCATCTATACCTCTGACCGGGATTTACTGCAAGTCCAAACAACTCTTCAATCTGATTTTGATACAACAATGGCTGTTTAATAATAAACTTCTGTTGAACATGAAGAAACTCTGCTGTGGTGGTGATGGCACAATGGATAAAACACATGCCTTTGGTGTGAGAAACCCAGGTTCAATCCCCCACTGTAACCCCTCCACCATTGTGTCCCTGAGCAAAATTGGATAAAAGCGTCAGCTAAATGAATAAATGTGCTGTATGGTGTACAATACAAAATTACAGATGTGGTTCTCATTTTGAAATACAGTTTTTAGACGGGTACCTTATGGAGAATGTTGAGGAATTTAAATATGTGGGCCTTTGGTTGGACCCCAGCCTCACTTTCAAGATACACATTGACAATATTAGCAAAGTATTTGGATGCCTTAACACTCAGATCACACTTGTTTTGCAACTAAAGTCAGAAAAAAATGATTTACCAATACCAATCATTGATTATGCAGACATAGTTTACACTAATACTTTCGAGTCCACTCTCAGACCCCTTAATGTTGTATTCAATTCCATTTGCAGATTTATATTGAACTGTCTATTTAAAACTCATCATTGTCTTATATATGATTCACTAAACTGGCTGCAACCTAAACCACAAAGGGATTACCACTGTTTATCTTTAAATATGTTTATTCCAACTGTCCTGCATACCTTAAACAGTATTTAATTCCTTATTGCTCGACATACGTACTCACTTAGACACCGCCAATGTCCAACATTTTTTACGGTACCGAGGTTATTTTCTGTAGCTGGTTGGAGAGCATTTCAACATAAAGCCCCTGAGGATCGGATTAACCTTCCTCTGTTCTTGAGATCTATTTCCACTTTGAGTTAATTCAAATCATCACTTTTTCTTTTCTTTTCTTAAAACTACATGTTCTTTTTTCAGGGGTACCAATATTATTACATATAAATGGTTTATCTCAAAATATACAGTAGTATGAATATAAGCTTGACTTTTTTTATCTTGATTTTCTTTGGACATTTCTATGGAGGTGTGACTTTATCCTGTATGTTTTATTTGTCATGAGGCATATTGATAAACAACACATTAGTTGTTTAGTGCACTCTGCTGATTATTTTGTCAATGTGCTTCAGTTTATTTGCTATGTTAATTGTGGGTTTGTTTTGTATATCAGATGGTACATGTTAAGGGTTTCTCCTAAAATAAATCAATTCACTGTGAGTCAGGTGTCAGACATTACATTCATTCATTCATTCATTTAGGAGCAACAAGGGGTCAAGTGTCTTGCTCAGGGACACAATGGTGGATGGGTCACAGTGGGGGATTGAACCATGGTCTCTCACACCAAAGGCATGTTTCTTATCCACTGTCCCATCACCACCAGTCATCCAGCCAATACTTCGCACTAACCGTTTCTTGGACATATATATCACATATGGACCCAGGGTCAAGATCTGTTGGTGTCAGTTTGTAACGTATCGGGCAGCCCCGCAGTGTCATAGTTCAACACAGTGGGGTGAAAATCTGACCCTAAAGTGCAGGTGTAGCATATTAAACAGAGAGTCAGAGGAAGGAGGTTGTTTGAGTGGACGGTGAGCCAGAAACCAGACTTTCACCTAGGAGACTGGTGCTCTTCAACACTGAATGTTTTTATTTGAGTTACGTAGGTTTCATAACGGGCAGCACAGTGGTGCAGTAGTTAGCAATGTCGCCTCACAGCAAGAAGGCCTAGGGTTTGAACCTTGGTCGTCCCATGCGTCTCCGGTTGCTCCAGCTTCCTCCCTTTATCCAAAGACATGTAGGCTAGGTTAACTGGTGACTCTAAATTGTCCTTAGGTGTGAGTAGTTGTTTGTATATGTGTGGCCCTGCGATGGACTGGCGACCTGTCCAGGGTGTACCCTGTCTCTGTCAGCTGGGATTGGCTCCAGCCCCCCTGCGACCCTGTACAAGTGGTTGACGATGAGTGAGTGAGTGAAGTTACATAAGTAAAGTATCTTTGTCATTCTAACCCAAACCAGGATCTTTTCCTAAACATAATCGAGTAGTTTTGGTGCCTAAACCTAACTGCACACAATATGCTTTTATTTAGAAAGTACTTGATTGCGGAGCCGTAAACATTGACAAACGACACTAAAGGTACCTAGGTAATGTGTGTCCTCTCCGTCCTGTATGTAAGTCTGTGTTTTCATTGTCGCTTCTCGTTCTTGTTGAGTCTCGACAGCCTGTTCCTGGATTACTCTGTTGTGTCTTGGATCTATTTTTGGATTTCTGTCCTTCTGTTGGATGTGTTTATTCCTTGGACTGCCTGCTTCATCTGTTCATCTTGTAAATAATGGTTTCCTTGGTAAACGTCACATGTCACCTGGTATATTATATTAATTCATTTAGCTGATGCTTTTATCCAAAGTGACTTACAATTGCTATACATGTCACGCCTCTGGAACAACGAGGGGTTAAGTCTTGCTCAGGGACACAATGGTGGATGTCTCACCGTGGGAAGTGAACCCCTGTCTCCCGCACCAGGTGCCACCACCTGGTAATAGTGTTTACTGTTGTGTATTATTTATCTTAATGTTTTCATTAAGTTTCTCCTACACCTGTTCAACACTGACGCTACAGGGCTTCCTCCAGGGCTTTGAACTCTGACGCTTAGGGGCTCCCCAGTGCCAACGGGTCATCACCGTGCAGCCACATGTGACGACCTGGGAGTGAGAATGGGTTGTTCGTACCTGTCTTGTTCCTGCGGAGCCAAAGAACCCCGACCAGGACCAGAACCAGAAGAACCAGAGAACCCACAGCTGCTCCAGCTGTTAGGAGGGGAAAGGTGAGAGGGGAGGAGGACAATGGAGGAATAGAAGGAGAAGGATGTGGAGGAGGAGCAGTAGGGCCTGGAGGAGAGCAGTTTATCAGCAGGTCAGCAGGTTCGTTCATATGATCTAAACAGGAAGTGATATCAGTGTCCTGACCTCTGACGCTCAGCCGTCTCCGAGGAGATTCTTCAGTCCGATCAAAATAACACCAGTAGAGACCTTCATCAGACGGCTGGACGTTACGGATGGTAAACTGGCCTTCAGGTCCAGATCCAAGTCTAGAACCATCCCTGATGAAAAAGGCTTCGAGTGCGACCTGATCTTTGCTTGTACAGCGCAGAGTGACATCACTTCCTGCCACCACAGGAAGTGCAGGAATCTCCAGAGAAACCTGAGGATCTGAAGAAGAAACACAGAGTTAGTCCATCAGACCAGAACCTGCAGAAGAATCAGTAGAACCTGGTCCAGTGAGACTGTCCTCACAGGGAAACACCAACACAGGTTGTTTGTGCAGCACTTTATTACGACCCGTATTCATGTTTACTGTGGCAGTGACCTCTAGTGGCCGTACGACGGTAGCAAAGGAGGAAGTCAGGTGAGGTATTGTATTGACTGTAAGAAGTGGGCGTAGTCATGGTGACGTCACCCGTTGGTTTGTGGACCGCCGTTTTGAAGCCTAGAGTTTGGCCGATAGGGCGCAACAGAACGGCACTGGCCGTGACCATATTTGAGCGAGACATTGGAGCTAACGGCCTTGTGCGGAGCTAGCTAGCTTAGCTAGGTGCATCTGTAACTCAGGTTAATGGTCATTTTAACAGGCTGATAATTTTGTCCAGAGAACAGCAGTCTGAAAACTGAATGTGCTCACCAGAGAAAGTGAGCAGCCGACTCCTGATGAGCTTTATCAGCTGCGCTGGTTAAATGTTCACAGAGCAGCGGATACGAGTCGCCTCTATCCTGATTGACAGCTTGTCAGTCAGCTTGTAGCCCCGCCCTAAAGCCTCCCCTGCTTCCTGGTCTCTGTTCCTCTAAATGGGACCATAATTTACTAAATGAACATCATGCTGTGTTGAAGAATACTTGAAACTAGAGACTGAGACCATAAACTCATCAGGAAAGTGTTTACTGAGGGAATAAATCAGCTGACAAGTAGAAACATTTTCTTTCTGCAGCCGCTGGAGTCGCCCCCTGCTGGCTGCTAGAGAGGACGCAGGTTTAAGTCACCCCCTGCTGGCTGCTAGAGAGGACGCAGGTTTAAGTCACCCCCTGCTGGCTGTTAGAGAGGACGCAGGTTTAAGTCGCCCCCTGCTGGCTGCTAGAGAGGACGCAGGTTTAAGTCGCCCCCTGCTGGCTGCTAGAGAGGACGCAGGTTTAAGTTGCCCCCTGCTGGCTGCTAGAGAGGACGCAGGTTTAAGTCGCCCCCTGCTGGCTGTTAGAGAGGACGCAGGTTTAAGTCGCCCCCTGCTGGCTGCTAGAGAGGACGCAGGTTTAAGTCGCCCCCTGCTGGCTGCTAGAGAGGACGCAGGTTTAAGTCACCCCCTGCTGGCTGCTAGAGAGGACGCAGGTTTAAGTCACCCCCTGCTGGCTGTTAGAGAGGACGCAGGTTTAAGTCGCCCCCTGCTGGCTGCTAGAGAGGACGCAGGTTTAAGTCGCCCCCTGCTGGCTGCTAGAGAGGACGCAGGTTTAAGTCGCCCCCTGCTGGCTGCTAGAGAGGACGCAGGTTTAAGTCGCCCCCTGCTGGCTGTTAGAGAGGACGCAGGTTTAAGTCGCCCCCTGCTGGCTGCTAGAGAGGACGCAGGTTTAAGTCGCCCCCTGCTGGCTGCTAGAGAGGACGCAGGTTTAAGTCGCCCCCTGCTGGCTGCTAGAGAGGACGCAGGTTTAAGGCGCCCCCTGCTGGCTGCTAGAGAGGACGCAGGTTTAAGTCGCCCCCTGCTGGCTGTTAGAGAGGACGCAGGTTTAAGTCGCCCCCTGCTGGCTGCTAGAGAGGACGCAGGTTTAAGTCGCCCCCTGCTGGCTGTTAGAGAGGACGCAGGTTTAAGGCGCCCCCTGCTGGCTGCTAGAGAGGACGCAGGTTTAAGGCGCCCCCTGCTGGCTGCTAGAGAGGACGCAGGTTTAAGTCGCCCCCTGCTGGCTGCTAGAGAGGACGCAGGTTTAAGTCGCCCCCTGCTGGCTGTTAGAGAGGACGCAGGTTTAAGGCGCCCCCTGCTGGCTGCTAGAGAGGACGCAGGTTTAAGGCGCCCCCTGCTGGCTGCTAGAGAGGACGCAGGTTTAAGTCGCCCCCTGCTGGCTGCTAGAGAGGACGCAGGTTTAAGTCGCCCCCTGCTGGCTGCTAGAGAGGACGCAGGTTTAAGTCGCCCCCTGCTGGCTGCTAGAGAGGACGCAGGTTTAAGTCGCCCCCTGCTGGCTGCTAGAGAGGACGCAGGTTTAAGTCGCCCCCTGCTGGCTGCTAGAGAGGACGCAGGTTTAAGTCGCCCCCTGCTGGCTGTTAGAGAGGACGCAGCTTTAAGTCGCCCCCTGCTGGCTGTTAGAGAGGACGCAGGTTTAAATCGCCCCCTGCTGGCTGTTAGAGAGGACGCAGGTTTAAGTCGCCCCCTGCTGGCTGCCAGAGAGGACGCAGGTTTAAGTCGCCCCCTGCTGGCTGCTGGAGAGGACGCAGGTTTAAGTCGCCCCCTGCTGGCTGCTAGAGAGGACGCAGGTTTAAGGGACTTCTGCGTTCGCATCAGTTCCCTGACCGGAAGCTTCCAGCTTGGTCCCATGTGACACCAAGTAACTGTTGAGTTAGTGGTGTTGGTGAATTCCATCATGTCATTATATAACATACTTACTTTAACCCAAACCAGGACGTTTTCCTAAACCTAACTATACTGTGACTGTTTCGAAACGTTAACCACGTGTTAAATGTCATGTGACGGCGGTCAGCAGGTTCGTTCATATGATCTAAACAGGAAGTGATGTCAGTGTCCTGACCTCTGACGCTCAGCCATCTCCGAGGAGATTCTTCAGTCTGATCAAAATAACACCAGTAGAGACCTTCATCAGACGGCTGGGCGTTACGGATGGTAAACTGGCCTTCAGGTCCAGATCCAAGTTTAGAACCATCCCTGATGAAAAAGGCTTCGAGTGCGACCTGATCTTTGCTTGTACAGCGCAGAGTGACATCACTTCCTGCCACCACAGGAAGTGCAGGAATCTCCAGAATAACCTGAGGATCTGAAGAAGAAAAACAGTTAGTCCATCAGACCAGATCCACATCCAGACAGAGTCAGACCTGTCTGTCCATCTTCAACACAACTACTCTCTTTTCCGGCTGGACGGACATCAGCTCACCTGCAGAAACAGTCTGTCCAGACAGCAGCAGCACGGACACACCTGCAACAGGAGGACTGAAGAGGTTAGACATGCTTTATTCATCCTGCAAGAGGAAAGGCAACGTTTTTCACTCTCCTATCAACATGCACACATGCAACAAACATGGGGAGATGTCAGGCTGACACCATCATCACTGAAGATCAACAGACTACGAGTCACAAATCTACAAATAGATTCACAATCCACAAACAAACACACCATGATCCACAAATAGAAATCTGTGGCGTTTACTTGAAAACCAGAATTTGAATGAAAGCAAAGTGATTTATTTGCGTGCAAGGGTCATATTCTGTTTGTAGATTGTGTTGCATTTGTTTTTAGAGTTTTAGCACCAATGTTTCACTGTGATGCTAAAACGATGCTGAGGTTTCCCCTGTTAAGAGAACAATAACAAGTCCGGGTTTCTCTGCCCCACACACAGTATCCGGTCGGCCATCATGCTCTGTGCGTCCTGAACGTTGGCGTGTAAACACCGACCAGAGTGAATGAAGCAAACTCACGGGGAGAGTAAAACGGTTTACAGTTAATGATAAGAAATTCCACATCAGGAGAACAGTGCAGCTGAATCACTGTCACGTCGGTACACCAGCCATTGTTAATATAAAAACAGACACCTCCACCTTTTGTTTTGCCGGAGAGCTCTGTGTCGCCGTCCGCTCTGTACGGTTGGAAGCCAGCCAGCTGCAGCGCGGAGTCCGCTATCAGCTCACGCCGCCACGTCTCCGCGAAGCACAGAACAGAAGATAAATAAAAGTCTCTGTTTTTCCCCACCAGAAGCTAAAGTTCGTCCAGTTTGTTGCACGTTGGAGAGAAATATTGCCTGTAGCGGTGTGCGGAGTCCCCGCCGAGGCAGCTATACTCAGCGCCATCTTGATGCTTTGATCTACAAATAGATTCAAAACCTGCAAACAAGCTCCTCATGATCCACAAAAATAAAATGTGATCTGTAAATGGACTGAAAGAATGAATGTTTGAATCTGTAAATACAATCCGCAAACTCCTCACACACTCTGCCGTAGGACTATGCCAAAAATATCAGTAGACAAATGCAAACACAGATTCAGCACTTAATTTTCAGCACTGCACAGAGTTTGTTAGCATGTCTTGAAACAGTGGTTTGAAAATACAATTTGGACTGTGTTTGTTTGCAAATTTCTATTTGTAGATCGTGCTTTATATTTGTGGATCATGAGGAGTTTGTGGAATTTAACTCTATTTGTAGATGGATAGATTGTAGGTTTTGTGGTTGAAAGTTTCAACTGATTCATTTTCAGTGATTATGGCATCGTTTTACCCCCACATCGCTGCCCCTGTCCGTTAGTGTGGCTCAGTCTGTAACCGGTCACTGGTTCGAGTCCAGCTCGGACCAGAGATGTGGAGGGTAGAGAGGTTTCTTTAAATAAATATAACATAACCTGGGCCAGATGAAACACAGAGGAGAGGCTGACTGACTTTATTGTGAAATCTCAGAGTACACAGAATTCGAGACAAACTGAAGGCTGATACTCAGAGTTTTATACCGCTGACCCTCTCTATGTGTGCTTTCCCAGTGTCCTCTTATTCTCATCTTTACCCTTCAGGAACTGTTTGCGATGTCACGTCCATTCACTTTACTAATTCCCTTCAAACCCAAGTGTTTCCTGTTTTCATCAGTAGCTTCAGCCATGAGCTGTCTGCTTTCATGTTTTCCATTATTCCTGCTGTACATGTGCTGCTACAGTCATTTCCACATTCATTATGGTAGACAGAGAGCCGGCTGGAGTGGCTGAGTCTACTGAAGGCTCATATTCACATCCGCTGTGAGAGTGTGTTGAGCAACATATTCAGCCGGGCTGCGGCCAAAACGTTGGTCTGTAGTAACTGGAGAGACGCAGAGTCAGGCCTGGACTGATGCACTGTGGGAAACGAAGTCATTCACATGACCACTGGCTCATTCACACTGAACTAAAGATTGCAGCATTATCCTGCAACCATGTGTCACATTTAATACAGCACCGGCATGCCGGCTGTGGTTTTTCACATCTGCGTTGCTACGGACGTCCCCGGCTCAGAGCCAGATCAAATCAGTACCGCCTTTCTGGGTTTCTTTGTTCCCATGTTTAGAATAGGGATGAAATAACAACATGTTCAGACTCCTCGCCGGTTGGTCATAACGCTGGCCGTTAACGCCAGCCGGCTGCTGCTTGTTAGATTTAGATTTTAAAGCTGATTATCCAGTTTAGTGTTTCTCTGTAGTCTCTAACAAGTAATAATTATGATAATAATGATATATTTGATTTATATAGCGCTTTTCTCTTCTATGTTATGTGCCATGACCTCCTGACAGGCTGTGCAAAATTTGGTGCAACTTGCCCCTAGGTGGCACTATTTAACATGAAAAATGTGTTCCTCTATAACTACAAGTCGGATTGACATAAAAGTTGAGCCGAATTGTTCAGGATGGTCTCCTGACTCCAGGGACTAAAGTTCACCCAAATATGCCCATAGGCGGCGCTGTTATTGCAGATTAAAGATGTCATCGGCATAGTAGTGAAAATGGGTGCCACGACGGCAGAGGACCAGTCTAACTGGTAGGATGTAGATAATGAAGAGGAGGGGACCAAGCACGGAGCCCTGAGGGACACCATGGGAGACTGGGGCGGTGGAGGAGTTGCAGTTGTTTATGGAGATGTATTGGTGTCTGTTAGAAAGGGAGGAGTTGAGCCAGGAGAGGGCAGTGCCGGTTTTGCTGAGGGAGGGAGGGACTCCCTCAGTGTGAGAAGGATGGATCGGTTGATGGTGTCGAAGGCAGCACTGAGGATGAGGATGGTGAGGAATCCAGAGTCATCAGAGATAAGGATGTCATTGGTGATTTTAAGTGGGGCAGTTTCTGTGCTGTGTTTGGAAATCTGATAGGAAAGTTTTACATGTGTTACTGAAGTCGAGGTGGGATTTGAGTTGAGCAGCGACAGCTTGCTCAAGGATCACAGGGGCAGACTACAGAGTCAGCAGCAGCCGATAGTGGGCGGGGACAGGAGGATCCAGAAGTGTCAGATTAGGCTGGAGAGCGAGTGCTGTGAAGAGTCGCTATGGTTCCAGCCAGAGACGGCAGTCTGCATCAGAGACAGGGAAGTGCAGGGCCAATTAACAGTCAGTGGGAAGCTAGCTACTGCAGCTGAGATGCTGCTAACGTAAAAAACTTAAAAATACAGAGATGTTGAGCCAGTGGCCGGATAAAAAGTCAAGCAATAAAGCTAGCTAGAGCGCTAAAGACAGAAACAAAACAAGTATAGACAGATAGTTGGAGAAGCAGCAAACAAACGACGCCTGACTCAGCATTGTGTGTTCATTGTGGGACACGGCCGTGTCGTGAGTGGAGGTCACACACCACGGCCGTGTCGTGAGTGGAGGTCACACACCACGGCCGTGTCGTGACTGGAGGTCACACACCACGGCCGTGTCGTGACTGGAGGTCACACACCACGGCCGTGTCCGAAACGGGCTAAACTGCTGTCTCAGAAGGTGGCTAACAGGACACCGAGGCATCAAGTGCTGTTCGACTCCAACCGCTCCAACGATCTCTTCCTGTCTCCTGAGACGCCTTCAAGACTTGTAACTTGATGCTGACTATTACCCATAAAGCAGCGCGGCTGCGGCCGCCGGAGCTTTAAAAAACTGGTCAAGAGGGCGAACAAACGAGCTGAATTTGTACACAAATATATGTTTTTAAAAGTTTTTAGTAGTTTTATCGCTTAAATTTTTGAAAATAGCGAGAACTAAACACTGAACTATAACATCAGCCCGTGGCTGAAACCAATCAAGTTTGTTCAGTCTGATTTCTGAGGCATCTGTTAGCCGTTTGGCTTTTCAGTAGCTAGTTAGCTGATGCTAAGGCTAGCGTCTCTTCTGACAGCAAGACGGCATGCTGACGTCACACGTTGCCGTAAGCGCTGCCCTAGAGGCTGATCGAAACTAATGTAAACAGAGATGCCTTCACTTGAAAGTGACGCCTTCTGAGGCAGCTGTCTGTTACGGTATCGAGGCAGCGAGGCAACTGCTGTCCGTTTCGGACACAGCCTTGCACATCTTTTCACCAAAAACACGTCTCCTGTCGGCTGAGTCAATGGAGAGACGAAGACGGAGTCAAGACAGCGGGCGGATCAATAAACCCAAACAGCTCTTCCCTCAAACATTGTCTGCTGGAACTTTATCCACACGAACGGTTCTGAACATGAGATCTGAGCAGAACAACTGAAAACTGATATTTCTGCTTCCACCTCCAAACTTTGCCTTATTTTTATTGTGTGCATGTTTATTTTACTGTTTCCTCTAGAAGGTTTCTTCGGGGGGATGGTCGCCCCCTGAAACTACTAGTGCCTCAGAGTTGGCGTGTTATGTATGCGTGGTGTCGTCTTTGATGCAGCGCACTAATTTTAGCTGGTTCGTCATGTTCTCCGTTCCTCTTCGACATTTTTATCGCTACAGTTCCTTCCTCCTGATGGAGCTACAGTTACGCTACATTCAGATACGATGCGATGAGACCGTGAACCAACCTCTGTGAAATATGTTTAAGGGTTAATTTTAGTTAAAGTTTTTACAGTTTAAGCACCGTGTGTAATCATGTGGTGGTGAATAAAAGTTCAACAATTCATAAAGTATGCAAATTAGGATGTTAAAACAGGCTATTATAATACTATTTAAGGAGAAACCCCTTTTAGAAAAACAAGACTTTTATCTGCATCAACAGGAAGGGGAGAAGTGTAACTGAGGCGGGTTTAAACAAACCTGGGTCTGCCCTGTCATTAATAACTACTGGGCAGGGACACTCCTAGACAGTAAACCCGGATTCTTTGGGTGTATACCTCAAGAATGGTTGAAAATGATAAATATTTAATGAATGTTCTGCTGCTGCTGCTGGGAAAGAGACTCTCACCAGGAAATGGTTACCTCAGGAGAGCCCAACCCTAAATGCTTGGGCGGAAATAACAATGGACATTGATGAAATGGAGAGAACAGCCTTCGTCAGTCACACCCTTATTTTCACATCTCAGTGACTACGCTGTAAAGATTTCTCCCTGCCTCTACACAGAGACAAACATGAATAAATGAATGTGTAAACAACTTCTGTAAACATCTTATGGAAACATTTGATTAATGTTGAATACCAACACACTGAATATAATACAAATATTAAAACATTCTGAAGGTTTTATTTTAGTGTGTGAGTGCAGATGGATGGATGATGGGTGATGGATGGATGGATGGATGGGTGATGGGTGATGGATGGATGGATGGATGGATGATGAATGATGGATGGATGATGGATGGATGGATGATGGATGATGAATGATGGATGATGGATGGATGGATGGATGGGTGATGGGTGATGGGTGATGGATGGATGGGTGATGGGTGATGGGTGATGGGTGATGGATGATGGGTGATGGGTGATGGATGATGGATGGATGGGTGATGGGTGATGGGTGATGGATGATGGGTGATGGGTGATGGGTGATGGATGGATGGATGGATGGATGGATGATGGATGGATGGATGATGGATGGATGGATGATGGATGGATGATGGATGGATGGATGGATGATAGATGGATGATGAATGATGGATGGATGATGAATGATGGATGATAGATGATAGATGGATGGATAGATGATGAATGATGGATGATGGATGATGAATGATGGATGGATGGATGGATGATGGATGATGGATGATAGATGATAGATGATAGATGATAGATGATAGATGATAGATGGATGGATAGATGATGAATGATGGATGATGGATGATGAATGATGGATGGATGGATGGATGATGGATGATGGATGATGGATGATGGATGGATGATGGATGATGAATGATGGATGGATGATGGATGGATGATAGATGATAGATTGATGGATGGATGATGGATGATAGATGGATGGATGGATGATGGATGGATGATGGATGATAGATGATAGATTGATGGATGGATGATGGATGATGGATGGATGATGGATGATAGATGATAGATTGATGGATGGATGATGGATGGAGGATGGATGATAGATGATGGATGGATGGATGGATGATGGATGGATGATGGATGATAGATGATAGATTGATGGATGGATGATGGATGATAGATGGATGGATGGATGATGGATGGATGATGGATGATAGATGATAGATGGATGGATGGATGATGGATGATGGATGGATGATGGATGATAGATGATAGATTGATGGATGGATGATGGATGGAGGATGGATGGTAGATGATAGATTGATGGATGGATGATGGATGGATGATGGATGGATGATGGATGATGGATGATAGATGATAGATTGATGGATGGATGATGGATGGATGGATGATGGATGATAGATGATAGATTGATGGATGGATGATGGATGATAGATGATAGATGGATGGATGATAGATGATAGATGGATGGATGATGGATGGATGGATGATAGATGATAGATGGATGGATGATGGATGGATGGATGATAGATGATAGATGGATGGATGATAGATGGATGGATGATGGATGGATGGATGATAGATGATAGATGGATGGATGATGGATGGATGGATGATAGATGATAGATGGATGGATAATAGATGGATGGATGATAGATGATAGATGGATGGATGATAGATGATAGATGGATGGATGATGGATGGATGGATGATAGATGATAGATGGATGGATGATAGATGATAGATGGATGGATGATGGATGATAGATGATAGATTGATGGATGGATGATGGATGGAGGATGGATGATAGATGATAGATGGATGGATGATAGATGATAGATGGATGGATGATGGATGGATGGATGATAGATGATAGATGGATGGATGATGGATGAAGTGTGTGGACTCACCGAGCAGCAGAGAAACAGCTGAAGTCTTCATGTTGACTGTAGTTCGACTCTCCGTCAGTCTGAGCAGCAGAGCGACGCCTGCAGCTCCACCACTTCTTCATGATGACACACTCAGCGCCTCATTGGCTGAGCTCTGGGCCGCCCCTCCGGACCCTCCGGCCCCCAGGCCGTCCCCCTGACATCTGTCCTGGAGCTTCCTGAATGTAGAAACACTGATGGACGTCCCGGACCAGGAAGACTCATCAGGTGATGCTGTGGCGCCCTCTGGTGACACAAATATAAACTGCATGGTGTCAGCTTCAGCTGATCCTGATTGTGATCACACATCAGCTCTTGGATTGAACTTATTGATTACATGGCACAGCAGTTTGTCTCCTGCAATATTCTGACCCCGCTGACTGAACCACGTGATGACATCATCATGCACTGGTCAATTTATTTTCTTGGTGTTAAAAGAACTAAATGAAAATGAAAATTGGGTGATTGCATTTTCCCCTAAATAACACGTATATGTGGAAAAATATATTAATGTGGGTTTACATTTTCAAGTTTACATGATGATTTGAAATTAGTTTTTTTAATGTTTTTAATCTATTTTTAAATATTTTTAATCTGTTCGTAAATGTTTTAAATCTCTTTTTAAATGTTTTAAATCTCTTTGTAAATGTTTTCAATCCCTTTGTAAAAGTTTTTAATCTCTTTTTAAATGTTTTTAATCTCTTTGTAAATGTTTTTAATCTCTTTGTAAATGTTTTCAATCCCTTTGTAAATGTTTTTAATCTCTTTGTAAATGTTTTTAATCTCTTTGTAAATGTTTTAATCTCTTTGTAAATGTTTTCAATCCCTTTGTAAATGTTTTTAATCTTTTTTGTAAATGATTTTAATCTCTTTAAATGTTTTTAATCTCTTTTTAAATGTTTTTAATCTGTTTGTAAATGTTTTTAATCTGTTTGTAAATGGATTTAAATCTGTTTGTAAATGGATTTAAATCTCTTTTTAAATGGATTTAAATCTCTTTTTAAATGTTTTTAATCTCTTTTTAAATGTTTTTAATCTCTTTGTTAATGATTTTAATCTCTTTGTAAATGTTTTTAATCTCTTTGTAAATGTTTTTTATCTCTTAAAAAACAACCTGGAGTTTAACATACTGTGTCTCATCCCGGACACAACCTGTTCCAGCTCCTCCCCTCTGGTAGGCGCTACAGAGCACAGGAACAACTCCTGTGCAATAACCCAGTAACTCTGCCTCTAATCAGCACCTGTTTACTGGTTTCCACTTATTATTTATTTATTCAACATTCTCTATTTCAGTGCTGTTCATACTGTATATACTGTATACCAAATCCACCTACCTCTTGTACATAACACCAAACATAATACTTACTTATTCCAGCGTTCTTTGCACTCATCACACTGTGTACATGTGTGCTTGTATGTGCATGTGCACCTGTATATCACATCCACCTCTGACATGTATATGATAATAATAATAAATGGTAATAATAATAATTTACTCCTGCATCCTTTGCACTCTGCTCACTGCACTATCGCACTGTTGTGTTCTTTGTACTGCAGCCTGTGTTTGATTATTATTGTCTTGTTTTATGGGTAAGCACATCGTGGCTCAGATCCAGCAGATGGTCAGACTTTAGAGACACATCTAAATCTAAATACTTCTCTGGCTTCAGGAACCTTCCCGACCACTTTCAAAAGGGCTCGGGTTACACCCTTGCTCAAAAAGCCCTCACCTGACCCAACTCAAGTTGAGAACTATCGACCAGTGTCTCTTCTACCTTTTTTATCCAAAACTATTGAACGGGCAGTATTCAAACAGGTCTCAGAATTCCTCTCAGGGAATGACCTCCTAGATCATATCAGTCTGGTTTTAAGAGTGCCCACTCTACTGAAACGACTCTTCTGTCTGTAACAGAAGCTCTAAGTCAGCTAAAGCTGAAGCCCAATCCTCGGTTCTGATCCTGCTTGACCTATCAGCTGCCTTTGACACAGTCAACCACAGGATCCTGCTATCTGCTCTCTCAGCAATGGGCATCTCGAGTAAAGCACTCCTGTGGTTCGAATCCTACCTCTCGGGACGTTCCTACAATGTTTTGTGGCAAGGACAATTATCCTCCTCCCCCTGCCTCTCCACAGGGGGGCCCCAAGGCTCAGTGCTTGGGCCCCTTCTCTTCTCAATCTACACCACCTCACTGGGGCCGATCATTCGCTCGGACGGCTTCTCTTACCACTGCTACGCAGACGACACGCAACTCTACCTATCCTTCCCGCCAGGCGATCCCACTGTCTCGGCGCGGATCACGGACTGTCTATCAGACATATCTGCATGGATGAAGTCTCGCCACCTTCAACTAAACCTCTCTAAGACTGAACTCTTGGTCATTCCAGCCAAGCAATCTATCCACCATAACATCAAACTACAAATTGACTCCGCAACCATCACTCCAACCAAGGTGGTGAGAAACTTGGGTGTCATGATTGATGACCAGCTGTCCTTTTCAGACCATGTTGCTACTGTCTCTCGGTCGTGCCGCTTTTCTCTATACAACATAAGGAAAATCAGGCCCTACCTCACTCAGTACGCCACCCAGCTGCTGGTACAGGCCATGGTTATCTCTTGCATCGACTATTGCAATGCCCTCCTAGCAGGTCTTCCAGCTTGTGCGGTGAAACCCTTACAAATGGTTCAGAACGCAGCAGTGCGTCTGGTTTTTGATCAGCCCAAAAGGACTCATGTCCCTCCATTACTCAGTGACCGCCACTGGCTCCCCGTGGCCTCCAGAATCAAATTCAAGTCACTAATGCTGCATTCAGAGTGACTACTGGTTCTGCACCATCTACCTAAACTCCATAATACAAACTTACGTTCCTTCTCGGCCGCTACGCTCCTCCAACGAACGCCGCCTGGCTCTGCCGTCCCTTTACACAAAGCAATCCCAGTCCCAGCTGTTCTCATCTGCGACACCACGATGGTGGAACGAGCTACCGCACGCCATCAGAGCAGGGGCGTCCCTCTCTAACTTCAAGAAGCTCTTGAAAACTCTGCAGAGAACACTTCCTCTGATAACACCTCTAACATGCACTTCCGGTGCTCTTCTTCTTCTATCCCCTACAATGATCTTGTATTGACTGCACTTTGTTAACTCTTACTTCCTTCCCTCGGTATCTATCTCTGATGTGATATGAACTATGAGCTCTTACTAGTATGTATTATCAGCTGTAGATCTGTAGTTCATGCTCTGTTGATGCTTTTATGTTGTTCCTCAAATGTAAGTCGCTTTGGATAAAAGCGTCAATGTAAATGTAAGAGGAAACAGGAGGAGGCAACAGACTCAGGTGAGCTTCCTGGGACACTCCGTCCTCACTCTGAGCCCTTTCCCCTTTACAGCCTGGTTGTTACTGCCGGTTACCATGGTAACATCCAATCTCAGAAGTTAGTCCGGGGGTCTCGCTATTCTGGTCTAAACTTAGTCTTTGTTTCTGTGAACCAGTCTAACTTGCATCAGACCAGTCTAGGAGCAGATTGTGGACCAGTCCGACACCACAGACCGGTCCGGTCTGAAACGTGAACCCGGCCCCGGTCTGTCCAGTCACCCTAGCAACAAGAAACGCCGCCGCTCGCCGGACTAACCAATCACGTCTGACGCTGTCCCTGACGTCACATCCCGTCAGCGCGTTGGGGTTGGCTGGTCCTCCATCTTGGCTCCGGTTAGCAGAGCGGCTAACAGCCAGAGAGTCTCCGGAGAGGACGAGGAGACGCTGAACGGACCGAACTGCTGCAGAGCTGACGGGACCGGAGCTGTCTCTCCGAACCGACCCGACCCAGAGACCGTCAGGCGGACCTGGACCCGCTCTGGCCCCAGAAACGCACGCTCCCGGTCCTGCCGGGTTAGCCGGCTAACGTAGCCAGTAAAGAGGAACTGTTGCTCCGGGTCACTTCGGACCTGTGTGGGTCACAAAGTGCCGGGAAAGAAGCCGAGCCGAACCGGGCCAGATAAGCCTCTGGTCCCGTAGACTGGAGCCAGTGATGCCGAGTGGGACCCTGCTGAGATAAACCCTGAATTTAAAGCTAAGTTTAGTTCCGGTGTTCCGGGAGGAGACGGGGCTTTATGACCGAGCCTCCCTCACTCTGACCCGGGTAACATGTCCACCAGGACCCCGCTGCCCACGGTCAACGAGCGGGACGCAGAGAAGGTGAGTCCACCTCACGTTTAACTGTTTTACCTGTTGTTCTGTTACTGTAGAGTGTTTAAAGTTCAACGCGAAGTCACGTGACAAACCAAAACAATGCTGAAGTTTACCGCGAAGTCACGTGACAAACTAAACAATGGTTAAGTTCACCGTGAAGTCACGTGACAAACCAAAACAATGGTTAAGTTCCCCGCGAAGTCACGTGACAAACCAAAACAATGGTTAAGTTCACCGCGAAGTCACGTGACAAACCAAAACAATGGTTAAGTTCACCGCGAAGTCACGTGACAAACTAAACAATGGTTAAGTTCACCGCGAAGTCACGTGACAAACCCAAACTATGCTGAAGTTTACAGCGAAGTCACGAGACAAACTAAACAATGGTTAAGTTCACCGTGAAGTCACGTGACAAACCAAAACAATGCTGAAGTTCACCGTGAAGTCACGTGACAAACTAAACAATGGTTAAGTTCACCGCGAAGTCACGTGACAAACTAAACAATGGTTAAGTTCACCGCGAAGTCACGTGACAAACCCAAACTATGCTGAAGTTCACCACGAAGTCACGTGACAAACCAAAACAATGGTTAAGTTCACCACGAAGTCACGTGAAAAACCAAAACAATGCTGAAGTTCACCGTGAAGTCACGTGACAAACTAAACAATGCTGAAGTTCACCGCGAAGTCACGTGACAAACTAAACAATGCTGAAGTTCACCACGAAGTCACGTGACAAACTAAACAATGGTTAAGTTCACCGCGAAGTCACGAGACAAACTAAACAATGGTTAAGTTCACCGCGAAGTCACGAGACAAACTAAACAATGCTGAAGTTCACAGCGAAGTCACGTGAGAAACTAAACAATGCTGAAGTTCACCGCAAAGTCACGGGACAAACCAAAACAATGGTTAAGTTCACCGCGAAGTCACGTGACAAACTAAACAATGCTGAAGTTCACCGCGAAGTCACGTGACAAACTAAACAATGGTTAAGTTCACCGCGAAGTCACGTGACAAACTAAACAATGGTTAAGTTCACCGCGAAGTCACGTGACAAACTAAACAATGGTTAAGTTCACAGCGAAGTCACGTGAGAAACTAAACAATGCTGAAGTTCACCATGACGTCACGTGACAAACCAAAACAATGCTGAAGTTCACCATGACGTCACGTGACAAACCAAAACAATGCTGAAGTTCACCATGACGTCACGTGACAAACCAAAACAATGCTGAAGTTCACCATGACGTCACGTGACAAACCAAAACAATGCTGAAGTTCACCATGACGTCACGAGACAAACCAAAACAATGCTGAAGTTCACCATGACGTCACGAGACAAACCAAAACAATGCTGAAGTTCACCATGATGTCACGAGACAAACCAAAACAATGCTGAAGTTCACCATGACGTCATGAGACAAACCAAAACAATGCTGAAGTTCACCATGACGTCACGAGACAAACCAAAACAATGCTGAAGTTCACTTCAGTCACGTGACAAACCAAAACAATGCTGAAGTTCACCTTGATGTCACGTGACAAACCAAAACAATGCTGAAGTTCACTTCAGTCACGTGACAAACCAAAACAATGCTGAAGTTCACCATGACGTCATGAGACAAACCAAAACAATGCTGAAGTTCACCATGACGTCATGAGACAAACCAAAACAATGGTGAAGTTCACCATGACGTCATGAGACAAACCAAAACAATGCTGAAGTTCACTTCAGTCACGTGACAAACCAAAACAATGCTGAAGTTCACCTTGACGTCATGAGACAAACCAAAATAATGCTGAAGTTCACCTTGACGTCATGAGACAAACCAAAATAATGCTGAAGTTCACCGTGACGTCATGAGACAAACCAAAACAATGCTGAAGTTCACCATGACGTCACGTGACAAACCAAAACAATGCTGAAGTTCACCATGACGTCATGAGACAAACCAAAACAATGCTGAAGTTCACTTCAGTCACGTGACAAACCAAAACAATGGTTAAGTTCACCACGAAGTCACGTGAAAAACCAAAACAATGCTGAAGTTCACCGTGAAGTCACGTGACAAACTAAACAATGCTGAAGTTCACCGCGAAGTCACGTGACAAACTAAACAATGGTTAAGTTCACCACGAAGTCACGTGACAAACTAAACAATGGTTAAGTTCACCGCGAAGTCACGAGACAAACTAAACAATGGTTAAGTTCACCGCGAAGTCACGTGACAAACTAAACAATGGTTAAGTTCACCGCGAAGTCACGTGACAAACTAAACAATGGTTAAGTTCACAGCGAAGTCACGTGAGAAACTAAACAATGCTGAAGTTCACCATGACGTCACGTGACAAACCAAAACAATGCTGAAGTTCACCATGACGTCACGTGACAAACCAAAACAATGCTGAAGTTCACCATGACGTCACGTGACAAACCAAAACAATGCTGAAGTTCACCATGACGTCACGTGACAAACCAAAACAATGCTGAAGTTCACCATGACGTCACGTGACAAACCAAAACAATGCTGAAGTTCACCATGACGTCACGAGACAAACCAAAACAATGCTGAAGTTCACCATGACGTCACGAGACAAACCAAAACAATGCTGAAGTTCACCATGATGTCACGAGACAAACCAAAACAATGCTGAAGTTCACCATGACGTCACGAGACAAACCAAAACAATGCTGAAGTTCACCATGACGTCACGAGACAAACCAAAACAATGCTGAAGTTCACTTCAGTCACGTGACAAACCAAAACAATGCTGAAGTTCACCTTGATGTCACGTGACAAACCAAAACAATGCTGAAGTTCACTTCAGTCACGTGACAAACCAAAACAATGCTGAAGTTCACCATGACGTCATGAGACAAACCAAAACAATGCTGAAGTTCACCATGACGTCATGAGACAAACCAAAACAATGGTGAAGTTCACCATGACGTCATGAGACAAACCAAAACAATGGTGAAGTTCACCATGACGTCATGAGACAAACCAAATCAATGCTGAAGTTCACTTCAGTCACGTGACAAACCAAAACAATGCTGAAGTTCACCTTGACGTCATGAGACAAACCAAAATAATGCTGAAGTTCACCGTGACGTCATGAGACAAACCAAAACAATGCTGAAGTTCACCATGACGTCACGTGACAAACCAAAACAATGCTGAAGTTCACCATGACGTCATGAGACAAACCAAAACAATGCTGAAGTTCACCATGACGTCATGAGACAAACCAAAACAATGCTGAAGTTCACTTCAGTCACGTGACAAACCAAAACAATGCTGAAGTTCACCTTGACGTCATGAGACAAACCAAAATAATGCTGAAGTTCACCGTGACGTCATGAGACAAACCAAAACAATGCTGAAGTTCACCATGACGTCATGAGACAAACCAAAATAATGCTGAAGTTCACCATGACGTCACGTGACAAACCAAAACAATGCTGAAGTTCACCATGACATAAATATTAAGTTAATTACATTTTAGATAAAACAGAATAACAAAACCCTTTGGTGCAGAACGTCCTCTGGAACAAACCCTGCAGGATCCTGAGGAGGCTCCAGGTCTTTATAGTTTCGGGTGTCTCTGTGTTACTGATGTTAAAACAGCAGCCTGTCTGTGATTGGTCAGGTGTGTGTACCTGTGTGACGGCGGCTGGCCGGCATCACACGCTCCTCCCGCGGGTCACAGCAGGCTTCCCCCGCCGCCTCAACTTCGAAAACTTTCAAGCACATTTTCGTTCCGCCATCACTTCTTGTAAAACTGTCAATATTGGAAATCTACACAGCTGATTTCTCAGCTCAAAACTTCTCAGAAGTGGATTTAGTGATGAAATAACGTGTGAAAACTGTAAAATCTAAAACTTCCTGTTGCTGGCCTCTGTCTGGTGCACAATGATAGTGAATAGTGAATATTCTCTCTGACCAATCAGCAGTCTGTCGTGTTTTCACATCACATTTTAGTTTCCCTCAGCTCGCTTGGAACCTCGACGGAGGTGATAGGAAAAGAAGGACCTGGAAGCAGGTACAGGTGCAACATTTCCACAGTGGAAAACCAAACAAAGGCGAGTGGAGGCGAGCTGTAGCGTGCGGTGGAAAAGGGGCGAATCAGAATCATGGAAGGTAACAGGTTGTTTTACTGTCACCGCTACGTAATAATAACGTCACACCTGTCTGTTTATTTTCCCAGCATTCCTCGGTGGACGATGGGCGTGGTCAGGTATCATCCCGCTCCGTCCGCTCCGCTCGGTGCAAAAACTCTTCGTCCTCCGCAGACGAGACGCCGCACGTCGGAAACTACCGACTGCTGAAAACCATCGGGAAGGGAAACTTCGCTAAAGTCAAGCTGGCCCGACACCTCCGGACAGGACGAGAGGTGAGGCGGGAAGGGGGGTGAGACGGGACGAGGGGTGAGACAGGCGGGACAGATGAGACCACAAAGGAAAGGTTTTTTGTCAGTTCAATAAAGTTTTGAATCCTGAGTTCAGACGTTGCTCCAAAAGGATCATGTGACCTTAAACTGTCAATCATCTTTGTCTTCCTGACAGGTGGCCATCAAAATAATTGATAAGACCCAGCTGAACCCCAGCAGCCTGCAGAAGGTGAGAGACAGTCTGGGTCCTGGTCCTGGTCCTGGTCCTGGTCAGAGCAGTAATGCCTCTGGTTCCAGTCCTGAGATCCAACATCAGACAGACAGCTGCTCTGTGTGTTCCATTGGCCGGTGAATCAGCCAATCAGTTTTCAGTATCTGCCACACAAGCTGCTGCCTCAGTATTGACCTGTCTGTCTACCTGTCTGTCTACCTGTCTGTCTGTCAGCTCTTCAGAGAGGTCAGAATAATGAAGCTCTTAAACCACCCAAACATCGGTGAGTAATGTCACACCCAGATACACCTGTCTGTCTCTCCCCTTACCTGTCTGTCTCTCTCCTGACCTGTCTACCTCTCCCCTCAGTTGTCTCTCCCCTCACCTGTCTATCTCTCCCCTTACCTGTCTGTCTCTCCCCTCACCTTTCTATCTCCCCCCTCACCTGTCTGTCTCTCTCCTCACCTGTCTATCTCTCCCCTTACCTGTCTGTCTCTCCCCTCACCTTTCTATCTCCCCCCTCACCTGTCTGTCTCTCTCCTCACCTGTCTATCTCTCCCCTTACCTGTCTGTCTCTCCCCTCACCTTTCTATCTCTCCCCTCACCTTTCTATCTCTCCCCTCACCTGTCTGTCTCTCTCCTCACCTGTCTGTCTCTCCCCTCACCTTTCTATCTCTCCCCTCACCTGTCTGTCTCTCTCCTCACCTGTCTGTCTCTCTCCTCACCTGTCTATCTCTCCCCTCACCTTTCTATCTCTCCCCTCACCTGTCTGTCTCTCCCCTCACCTTTCTATCTCTCCCCTCACCTGTCTGTCTCTCCTCACCTGTCTATCTCTCCCCTCACCTTTCTATCTCTCTCCTCACCTGTCTGTCTCTCCCCTCACCTGTCTATCTCTCCCCTCACCTGTCTGTCTCTCCCCTCACCTTTCTATCTCTCCCCTCACCTGTCTGTCTCTCTCCTCACCTTTCTATCTCTCCCCTCACCTGTCTGTCTCTCTCCTCACCTGTCTATCTCTCCCCTCACCTTTCTATCTCTCCCCTCACCTGTCTGTCTCTCCCCTCACCTTTCTATCTCTCCCCTCACCTGTCTGTCTCTCTCCTCACCTGTCTATCTCTCCCCTCACCTTTCTATCTCTCTCCTCACCTGTCTGTCTCTCTCCTCACCTGTCTATCTCTCCCCTCACCTTTCTATCTCTCCCCTCACCTGTCTGTCTCTCCCCTCACCTTTCTATCTCTCCCCTCACCTGTCTGTCTCTCTCCTCACCTGTCTATCTCTCCCCTCACCTTTCTATCTCTCTCCTCACCTGTCTATCTCTCCCCTCACCTGTCTGTCTCTCCCCTCACCTGTCTGTCTCTCCCCTCACCTGTCTGTCTCTCTCCTCACCTGTCTATCTCTCTCCTCACCTTTCTATCTCTCTCCTCACCTGTCTGTCTCTCCCCTCACCTGTCTGTCTCTCCCCTCACCTGTCTGTCTCTCTCCTCACCTGTCTATCTCTCCCCTCACCTTTCTATCTCTCTCCTCACCTGTCTGTCTCTCTCCTCACCTGTCTGTCTCTCCCCTCACCTGTCTGTCTCTCCCCTCACCTGTCTGTCTCTCTCCTCACCTGTCTATCTCTCCCCTCACCTGTCTGTCTCTCTCCTCACCTGTCTATCTCTCCCCTCACCTGTCTGTCTCTCTCCTCACCTGTCTATCTCTCCCCTCACCTTTCTATCTCTCTCCTTACCTTTCTATCTCTCTCCTCACCTGTCTGTCTCTCTCCTCACCTGTCTGTCTCTCCCCTCACCTGTCTGTCTCTCCCCTCACCTTTCTATCTCTCCCCTCAGTTGTCTCTCCCCTCACCTGTCTGTCTCTCCCCTCACCTTTCTATCTCTCCCCTCACCTGTCTGTCTCTCCCCTCACCTTTCTATCTCTCCCCTCAGTTGTCTCTCCCCTCACCTGTCTGTCTCTCCCCTCACCTGTCTGTCTCTCCCCTCACCTGTCTATCTCTCCCCTCACCTTTCTATTTCTCCCCTCACCTGTCTGTCTCTCCCCTCACCTGTATGTCTCTCCCCTTACCTGTCTGTCTCTCTCCTCACCCATCTGTCTCCCTGCATGTCCACAGTGAAGCTGTTTGAGGTGATGGAGACGGAGAAGACTCTGTACCTGGTGATGGAGTACGCCAGTGGAGGTAAGTCTCTTTAAACCTGGTCTAACCGGTCTGAGGTCAGACAGGTCTAACAGCTGCTCTGGTGACCTCTGACCTCGCACTGAGTTGCTGGAGGTGACCTTGGTCTCTGTGTGCAGGTGAAGTGTTTGACTACCTCGTAGCTCATGGGAGGATGAAGGAGAAGGAGGCCAGAGCTAAATTTAGACAGGTAAAACACACCCTGTAAACGTAGACGGGTCACACTCACTCTGTAAAGGTAGACGGCTAACGCGCACTCTGTATAGGTAGACGGGTCACGCGCACTCTGTAAAGGTAGACGGGTCACGCGCACTCTGTAAAGGTAGATGGCTAACGCGCACTCTGTAACGCCTGTAACGCGCACTCTGTAAAGGTAGGTGGCTAACGCGCACTCTGTATAGGTAGACGGGTCACGCGCACTCTGTAAAGGTAGATGGCTAACGCGCACTCTGTAACGCCTGTAACGCGCACTCTGTAAAGGTAGATGGCTAACGCGCACTCTGTAACGCCTGTAACGCGCACTCTGTAACGTGCACTCTGTAAAGGTAGACGGCTAACGCGCACTCTGTATAGGTAGACGGGTCACGCGCACTCTGTAAAGGTAGACGGCTAACGCGCACTCTGTATAGGTAGACGGCTAACGCGCACTCTGTAAAGGTAGACGGCTAACGCGCACTCTGTAAAGGTAGATGGCTAACGCGCACTCTGTAACGCCTGTAACGCGCACTCTGTAACGCGCACTCTGTAAAGGTAGATGGCTAACGCGCACTCTGTAACGCCTGTAACGCGCACTCTGTAACGCGCACTCTGTAAAGGTAGATGGCTAACGCGCACTCTGTAACGCCTGTAACGCGCACTCTGTAACGCGCACTCTGTAAAGGTAGATGGCTAACGCGCACTCTGTAACGCGCACTCTGTAAAGGTAGACGGCTAACGCGCACTCTGTATAGGTAGACGGGTCACGCGCACTCTGTAAAGGTAGATGGCTAACGCGCACTCTGTAACGCCTGTAACGCGCACTCTGTAACGCGCACTCTGTATAGGTAGACGGGTCACGCGCACTCTGTAAACGTAGACGGGTCACGCGCACCCTCAATCTGTATAGGTAGACGGGTCACCCTCACTCTGTAAAGGTAGACGGGTCACGCACACTCTGTAAAGGTAGACGGGTCACCCTCACTCTGTAAAGGTAGATGGGTCACGCACACTCTGTAAAGGTAGACGGGTCACGCACACCCTCACTCTGTAAAGGTAGACGGGTCACGCGCACTCTGTAAAGGTAGACGGGTCACGCGCACTCTGTAAACGTAGACGGGTCACGCGCACTCTGTAAACGTAGACGGGTCACTCTCACTCTGTAAAGGTAGACGGGTCACGTGCACTCTCACTCTGTAAAGGTAGACGGGTCACCCTCACTCTGTAAAGGTAGACGGGTCCCCCTCACCCTCACTCTGTAAAGGTAGACGGGTCCCCCTCACTCTGTAAAGGTAGACGGGTCACCCTCGCTCTGTAAAGGTAGATGGGTCACGCACACTCTGTAAAGGTAGACGGGTCACGCGCACTCTGTAAACGTAGACGGGTCACCCTCACTCTGTAAAGGTAGACGGGTCACGTGCACTCTCACTCTGTAAAGGTAGACGGGTCACCCTCACTCTGTAAAGGTAGACGGGTCACGTGCACCCTCACTCTGTAAAGGTAGACGGGTCCCCCTCACTCTGTAAAGGTAGACGGGTCACCCTCGCTCTGTAAAGGTAGATGGGTCACGCACGCTCTGTAAAGGTAGACGGGTCACGCACACTCTGTAAAGGTAGACGGGTCACGCGCACTCTGTAAACGTAGACGGGTCACCCTCACTCTGTAAAGGTAGACGGGTCACGTGCACCCTCACTCTGTAAAGGTAGACGGGTCACCCTCGCTCTGTAAAGGTAGACGGGTCACGTGCACCCTCACTCTGTAAAGGTAGACGGGTCACCCTCGCTCTGTAAAGGTAGACGGGTCACGTGCACCCTCACTCTGTAAAGGTAGACGGCTAACGCGCACTCTGTAAAGGTAGACGGGTCACGCGCACCCTCACTCTGTAAAGGTAGACGGGTCCCCCTCACTCTGTAAAGGTAGACGGGTCACGCGCACCCTCACTCTGTAAAGGTAGACGGGTAACACGCATCCTATAAACGTAGACTGCTAACGCGCACTCTGTAAATGAAGACATTAATTATATTAATAATGGTATTTGATGTTCCTGTCTGAACCGGACTGTCTGTCTGTGCAGATTGTGTCTGCCGTTCAGTACTGCCATCAGAAGAACATAGTTCACCGTGACCTTAAGGTAACACACTGAACTCTACTCTCAAATTTTCCAGCTGACATTAAACACACCATGAAATACATTTACATCTCATTCCTCTGCCCCCCTCCCCCACAGGCAGAGAACCTCCTCCTGGATGCTGACATGAATATTAAAATAGCAGATTTTGGGTTTAGTAATGAGTTCACTGTCGGTGGGAAACTGGACACTTTCTGTGGTTCTCCTCCGTACGCTGCTCCGGAACTCTTCCAGGTACATGGACACCTTCACTCATTCCTGTGTAACCTGAGTCGCCCAGTACCTGTAAATAAACAATGCGTGATGTTGTCCACTGGTTCCTGAGCAGTGGTCTAGTGGTTCCTGTGCAGTGTCCCCTTGTTACTTTTCAGTTGTTCAGTGGGTACTGTGAAGTGGTTACTGTGCAGGGTCCACTTGTTACTTTGCAGTGGTCCAGTGGTTCCTGTGCAGTGGTCCAGTAGTTCGTGTGTACTTTCCAGTGGTTCCTGTGCAGTGTCCATTTGTTACTGTGCAGTGGTCCAGTGGTTACTATGAAGTCGTCCAGTGGTTCCTGTGTAGTGGTCCAGTGGTTACTATGCAGTGGTTCTTGTGCAGTGGCCAGTGGTTACTATGCAGTGGTCCAGTGGTTCCTGTGTACTGGTCCAGTGGTTCCTGTGCAGTATCCACTTGTTAGTGTGCAGTGTTCAGTGGCTACTATGCAGTGGTCTAGTGGTTCATGTGCAGTGTCCATTTATTACTGTGCAGTGTCCAGTGGCTACTATGCAGTGGTCCAGTGGTTCCTGCGCATGTGGTCCAGTGGTTCTTGCGCATGTGGTCCAGTGGTTCCTGCGCATGTGGTCCAGTGGTTCCTGCGCATGTGGTCCAGTGGTTCCTTTGCAGTGTCCAGTTGTTACTATGCAGTGGATCTTGTGCAGTGGCAAGTGGTTACTTTGCAGTGGTTCAGTGGTTCCTGTGTACTGGTCCAGTGGTTCCTGCGCAGTGTCCACTTGTTACTATGCAGTGGTCCAGTGGTTCCTGTGTACTGGTCCAGTGGTTCCTATGCAGTGGTTCTTGTGCAGTGGCCAGTGGTTACTTTGCAGTGGTCCAGTGGCTACTATGTAGTGGTCCAGTGTTTCCTGTGCAGTGTCCATTTATTACTGTGCAGTGTACAGTGGCTACTATATAGTGGTCCAGTGGTTCCTGCGCATGTGGTCCAGTGGTTCCTGTGCAGTGTCCATTTATTACTGTACAGTGTTCAGTGGCTACTATGCAGTGGTCCAGTGGTTCCTGCGCATGTGATCCAGTGGTTCTTGTGCAGTGGTCCATTTGTTACTGTGCAGTGTCCAGTGGCTACTATGCAGTGGTCCAGTGGTTCCTGCGCATGTGGTCCACTTGTTACTATGCAGTGTCCAGTGGCTACTATGCAGTGTCCACTTGTTACTGTGCAGTGTCCACTTGTTACTGTGCAGTGTCCACTTGTTACTATGCAGTGTCCATTTGTTACTGTGCAGTGGTCCAGTGGTTACTATGAAGTCGTCCAGTGGTTCCTGTGTACTGACAGTGGTTACTATGCAGTGGTTCTTGTGCAGTGGCCAGTGGTTACTTTGCAGTGGTCCAGTGATTCCTGTGTACTGGTCCAGTGGTTCCTGTGTAGTGGTCCAGTGGTTCCTGTGTAGTGGTCCAGTGGTTCCTGCGCATGTCGTCCACTTGTTACTGTGCAGTTTTCAGTGGCTACTATGCAGTTGTCCAGTGGCTACTATATAGTGGTCCAGTGGTTCCTGTGCATGTGGTCCAGTGGTTCCTGTGCAGTGTCCATTTATTACTGTGCAGGGTAGAGTGGCTACTATGCAGTGGTCCAGGGGTTCCTGTGCAGTGTCCACTTGTTACTGTGCAGTGTTCAGTGGTTCCTGCGCACGTGGTCCAGTGGTTCCTGCACACGTGGTCCAGTGGTTCCTGTGCAGTGTCCAGTTATTACTGTGCTGTGGTTCTTGTGCAGTGGCCAGTGGATACTTTGCAGTGGTTCAGTGGTTCCTGTGTACTGGTCCGTTGGTTCCTGCGCAGTGTCCACTTGTTACTGTCCAGTATCCAGTGGTTCCTGCTCAGTGATCCAGTGGTTACTATGCAGTGGTCCAGTGGTTCCTGTGCAGTGGCCAGTTGTTACTTTGCAGTGGTTCTTGTGCAGTGGCCAGTTGTTACTTTGCAGTGGTTCTTGTGCAGTGGCCAGTGGATACTTTGCAGTGGTTCAGTGGTTCCTGTGTACTGGTCCATTGGTTCCTGCGCAGTGTCCACTTGTTACTGTCCAGTGTCCATTGGTTCCTGCGCAGTGATCCAGTGGTTACTATGCAGTGGTCCAGTGGTTCCTGTGCAGTTTCCAGTTGTTACTTTGCAGTGGTTCTTGTGCAGTGGCCAGTTGTTACTTTGCAGTGTCCACTTGTTACTTTGCAGTGTCCAGTGGCTACTATGCAGTGGTCCAGTGGTACCTGTGCAGTGTCAGTACTTGGCACATGTGTTCAGCTGCCCAGGTCTTTGTATTCTAGGGTTTAGGTTAAAATTAAAAAATCTATGCAGCCATTTCATTGGGTAGAAGGTGAGTCCTCAGCAGGTAGGTGGGGATATTGATGGGTGTGTTTGTTTCAGGGCAAAAAGTATGACGGTCCAGAGGTGGACGTGTGGAGTCTGGGTGTGATCCTCTACACTCTGGTCAGCGGATCTCTGCCGTTTGATGGGATAAACCTGAAGGTGAGTTGCAGATGGGTCAAAGGAACAAGTTGTCTGTGGTCCTGACTGACTGTGGTTCTGTCTCCAGGAGCTGAGAGAGCGGGTCCTACGTGGTAAATACCGGGTCCCCTTCTACATGTCAACGGACTGTGAGAACCTGCTGAAGCGTTTCCTAGTGCTGAACCCGGGGAAGCGAGGAACTCTGGAGGTCAGAACATATCAATTCAATTCAATTCAATTTTATTTATATAGCGCCAAATCACAACAACAGTTATCTCACAGCGCTTTTCATAAAAGAGCAGGTCTAGACCGTACTCTGTGATGATATTTACAGAAGCCCAACAGTTCCCACCAAGAGCAGCACTAGGAGACAGAGGCAAGGAAAAACCTCCTTTAAGAGGCAGAAACCTCGAGCAGAACCATGACTCAGGGTGGGCAGCCATCTGCCTCCACCGGTTGGGGGTGAAGGAGAGAGAGAGGGAGAGAGAGAGAGAGAGCAGAAGAGGAATAGAGAAAAAGAGAGGGATGTAAGGAGAGAGGGAGGGAGGCATCCTACACAATATCCACACAGAGGTACTGACAGTAAAGGTGATGTTGCTATAGACTAAATGAAAAATGGTACAGATATTTATAATAGTGTTAATGATAACAATCGTAATGTTAATGATTATAATAACAATAAGACTAGCAACAATAGTCGTTGCAGCAGAGGGTGTCGAGCAGGAACACGGGGGCAGCAGGTGACCCGCAACCACAGATCCAGACTCCACAGCTCCAGAGCCAGAAAACCTGCAGGAAGTGATAGGAGGAGAGAGGAGAGAGACGAGAAAGCACAAGACTACCAGAAAGGGGAGAAGTTGTGTTAGTAACATGCAATAATGGGATGAGGTTGCATACAGAGGGAGAGAAAGTAGAGGAGAGAGGAGCTCAGTGCATCATGGGAAATCCCCCGGCAGTCTAGGCCTATAGCAGCATAACTAAGGGATGGTTCAGGACTCACCTGAGCCAGCCCTAACTATAATCTTTATCAAAGAGGAAAGTCTTAAGCCTACTCTTAAATGTGGAGATGGTGTCTGCCTCCTGAACCCAAACTGGAACCTGGTTCCACAGGAGAGGAGCTTGATAGCTGAACGCTCTGGCTCCTAGTCTACTTTTGGAGACTCTAGGAACCACAAGTAACCCTGCATTCTGGGAGCGCAGTGCTCTGGTGGGGTAGTAAGGTACTATGAGCTCTTTAAGATAAGATGGTGCCTGACCATTAAGAGCTTTGTAGGTAAGAAGAATGATTTTAAATTCTATTCTGGATTTTACTGGAAGCCAATGCAAAGAAGCTAAAACAGGAGAAATGTGATCTCTTTTCCTGGTTCCTGTCAGAACACGAGCTGCAGCATTCTGGATCAGCTGAAGAGTCTTAACGGACAAATGCATGGACTAGTTTTTCTGCATCATTTTTAGACAGGATGTTCCTGATTTTCGCAATATTACGTAGGTGAAAAAAGGCGGTCCTTGAAATTTGCTTAATGTGAGACTTAAACGACATGTCCTGATCAAAGATAACTCCAAGATTCCTCACAGTGGTGCTGGAGGCCAGGGCGATGCCATCCAGGGAAACTATATCTTTAGATGATGCGTCACGGAGGTGCTTAGGCCCCAGAACAATAACTTCAGTTTTATCTGAGTTTAACATGAGAAAATTACAGGTCATCCAGGTTTTAACATCCTGAAGGCACATTTGAAGTTTAGCTAACTGATGAGTTTCATCTGGCTTGATCGATAGATATAACTGAGTATCATCTGCATAACAATGAAAGCTTATGGAATGTTTCCTGATAATATTGCCTAAAGGAAGCATATATAAAGTGAAGAGGATTGGTCCAAGGACAGATCCTTGAGGAACTCCATGAGTAACTTTGGTGTGCATGGAGGACTCATCGTTAACATGTACAAACTGAAATCGATCTGATAAATAGGACTTAAACCAGCTTAGAGCGGTTCCTTTAATGCCAATGAAATATTCCAGTCTCTGCAATAGGATCTGATGGTCAATGGTATCAAATGCAGCACTAAGATCTAATAAAACCAGTACAGAGACAAGTCCTTTGTCTGATGCAATAAGGAGGTCATTAGTAATTTTCACCAGTGCTGTCTCTGTGCTATGATGAGCTCTAAATCCTGACTGAAAATCCTCAAATAAACTATTGCTCTGTAGAAAGTCACACAGCTGTTTAGCAACTGCTTTCTCCAGAACCTTAGAGAGAAATGGAAGGTTAGATATAGGTCTATAGTTGGCTAAAACATCCGGATCAAGTTTGGGCTTTTTCAGAAGAGGTTTAATTACAGCTACTTTAAAGTACTGTGGTACATAGCCTGTTGATAGAGATAGATTGATCATATCTAGTATAGAGGTGCTGACTAAGGGTAAAACATCTTTAAGCAGCCTAGTTGGGATGGGGTCTAAGAGGCAGGTTGATGGTTTAGATGAAGAAATTATTGAAGTTAGTTGGTAAAGATTGAGGGAAGCAAAACAGTCTAAACATGTATCTGGTTCTACAGCTGTTTCTAAGGTTCCTGAGTTAAGAGATAAGTCGGTGCCAATTTTGTCTCTAATAGCTAGAATTTTATCATTAAACTACTGAGAGCTATGGGAATACTTGGCTCAATAGAGCTGCGACTCTCTGTCAGCCTGGCTACAGTGCTGAAAAGAAACCTGGGGTTGTTCCTATTTTCCTCTATTAATGACGAGTAGTACGCTGCTCTGGCATTACGGAGGGCCTTCCTATAAGTTTTAAGACTATCTTGCCAGATTAAACGAGAATTTTCCACTTTGGTGGAACGCCAATTCCTCTCAAGTTTCTGTGATATTTGCTTTAATTTGCGAGTTTCAGTATTATACCATGGAGCTAACCGTCTTTGTTTTAGTATTTTCTTTTTTAGAGGGGCTACAGAGTCGAGTGTCATTCGCAGCGAGCCTGCAGCACTATCAACAAGATGATCGATTTGGGAGGGACTGAAATTAGCATAGGAGTCCTCCGTTACTTTGTGACTAGATAATGAATTTAGAGCTGATGGAATCGCATCCTTAAATTTAGCTACAGCACTATCAGACAGACATCTTGTATAGAAATTTTTGCCCAATGGCGTGTAGTTCAGCAATACAAACTCAAAAGTTATCAAACAGTGGTCGGACAAAGAGGGATTCTGTGGGAACACCACTAAATGTTCAATTTCAATACCATACACCAAAACAAGGTCGAGGGTGTGGTTAAAACAGTGAGTCGGTTCATGAAAACTCTGAGAGAAGCCAATGGAATCTAACAGAGAGATAAACGCAGTACTGAAGCTGTCATTCTCAACATCCACATGAATATTAAAATCCCCTACAGTAATAACTTTGTCCGTTTTAAGGACTAAAGTTGACAAAAACTCTGCAAATTCAGGTAACAATTCAGAGTACAGGCCAGGTGCTCGGTACACTATAACGAAGAGAATTGGTTGCAGTGATTTCAAACTTGGGTGCGAAAGACCAAGAACAAGGCTTTCAAATGAGTTATAGTTTGGTTTAGGTTTAGAGTTGATTAGTGGGCTAGAGTGGAAGATAGCTGCAACTCCACCTCCTCTGCCTGTGCCTCGAGGAATGTGAGTATTAATATGACTGGGAGGGGTGGATTCATTTAGGCTAACATATCTCCATCACCCAGCCAGGTTTCACTAAGACCAAATAAATCAATATCATAATCTGATATTAGTTCATTTACTAGTACACCTTTAGAAGAGAGAGATCTGATGTTTAAGAGTCCACATTTAACTCTCCTATTCATTTGCACTATTGCTCTTGTGGTTTTAATTTTATGAGGTTTTTATGCACAGCTCCTCTTTGTTTACCTTTTTAAATAATTTCGATGGTCGGGGGGCAGACACCGTCACTATAGGATTTTCACTAAGTAACTCCTGAAATGGAGGAGCAGAGAAGTGTGTTAGACTGCGACTCTGCCTCCTGGTCTCAACTCTGGGTTGTCATGGATTTGGTCCACTAATAAACTTGGCCAGATTTCTAGAAATGAGAGCTGCTCCTTCCCAAGTGGGATGGATGCCGTCTCTCCGGATCAGACAGGTCTTCCCCAGAAAGTCTGCCAATGATCTACAAAGCCCACATCGTTTGCTGGACACCACCTCGACAACCAGCAGCGGAATGACGACATGCGGCTATACATGTCATCACTGGTCAGATTTGGCAGGGGTCCAGAGAAAACTACGGTGTCCGACATTGTTTTTGCATATGTACACACCGACTCAACATTAATCTTAGTGACCTCCGATTGGCGTAACCGGGAGTCATTACCGCCGACGTGAATAACAATCTTACTGTATTTACGTTTATCCTTAGCCAGCAGTTTCAAATAAGACTCAATGTCGCCCCCTCTGGCCCCAGGGATGCACTTAACTATGGCCGCTGGCTTCGCTAACTTCACGTTTCTCAAAATGGAGCTGCCAATGATCAGAGTTGGTTTCTCAGCGGGTGTGTCACTGAGTGGGGAAAATCTGTTAGACGTGAACAGGTTGATGATGCCCCGTGGACTTTGAATGCTTACGACTATCCTCCTTCGGACAGTCACCCAGCCCCCCCTTCCTGGCTGCACAGGAGATGCCGGAGGACGGCTACCAGAGGCTAACTCAGGCCGTTCCGCACCGACTACCGGGGACTGGCTAGCTACAGTAGCTAAAGACTGATCTACCAAGGTGGAGCCGGACTTCTAAATCACTGAGCCTCGCCTCCATGTCTATAAATAAACTACACTTATTACATGTACCATTACCGCTAAAGGAGGCAGAGGAGTAACTGAACATCTGACACACCGAGCAGGAGAAAGTAGGAGAGAGAGAGGGAGAAGGAGAAGCCATCGCTAGCTGCTAAGCTAAAGTCGCTAACGGCTAAGCTAAAGTACTGTAGCGTCAGCTACCAAAACTTTAGAACAACTATGAGATTGAACAGCAGTCACTAAAAGATGGAAAGAACTGTGAGTGCTTAGGCAAAATTACTGTAAAGAATAAGTGTTTAGCGAACAGTTGCTGCTGTAATCAAACAAATGTAACTGTTATTTAGCGAGAGCAGCACAACACGGTACCAACACACAAGCACCGGAAACAGAAATGAGTCGACACGCTTACCGCAGTATGTCAGAGAGATAAGAATATCAGCTGTTAGTGAGAGAAGAACCTCAGTGTGTTTAAACCCACATGTGTTGGTGTACTGAAGGTCTGAACTAAACCTGGTCCCACATGTGTTGGTGTACTGAAGGTCTGAATTAAACCTGGTCCCACATGTGTTGGTGTACTGAAGGTCTGAATTAAACCTGGTCCCACATGTGTTGGTGTACTGAAGGTCTGAATTAAACCTGGTCCCACATGTGTTGGTGTACTGAAGGTCTGAATTAAACCTGGTCCCACATGTGTTGGTGTACTGAAGGTCTGAACTAAACCTGGTCCCACATGTGTTGGTGTACTGAAGGTTGAATTAAACTGGTCCCACATGTGTTGGTGTACTGAAGGTCTGAACTAAACCTGGTCCCACATGTGTTGGTGTACTGAAGGTCTGAATTAAACCTGGTCCCACATGTGTTGGTGTACTGAAGGTCTGAATTAAACCTGGTCCCACATGTGTTGGTGTACTGAAGGTCTGAATTAAACCTGGTCCCACATGTGTTGGTGTACTGAAGTCTGAATTAAACCTGGTCCCACATGTGTTGGTGTACGAAGGTCTGAATTAAACCTGGTCCCACATGTTTGGGTACTGAAGGTCTGAATTAAACCTGGTCCCACATGTGTTGGTGTACTGAAGGTCTGAACTAAACCTGGTCCCACATGTGTTGGTGTACTGAAGGTCTGAATTAAACCTGGTCCCACATGTGTTGGTGTTTCCTCCGCAGCAAATCATGAAGGACCGCTGGATCAACGCCGGCTCTGATGAGGTTCTGAGACCCTTCATGGAGCCGGTGCTGGACCTCGGAGACCCGCAGAGGATCGGTACGCACTCACCTGTAAATACTTAGAGTACAAGTACTCAGGTTGTATACTCAGCTGTTCAGTTCTACTCCAATCAGGAGAGAGCGCCGCCATGCCGGTCCCTGTTGTGTTTCAGACCTGATGGTGGGGCTGGGCTTCTCCAGAGACCAGATCCACGAGTCGCTCTCCAAGATGAAGTACGATGACATCACAGCCACCTACCTGCTGCTGGGATGCGGCGCCGCTGAGGTCAGAGGGGGTTACCGTGGTAACAGCAGGTGTGACCCGGCGGGCGCCGCCCGGCAGTGATGTCACTGTGTTTGTGTTTCAGGTAGAGGTGAGCGACTCCTCGGCCTCCCTGCTTAAACCCCGCCTGCCCAGCAGCAGCCCGTCTCCTGCTCACCTCCTCAGCCAGCGCGCCTCCTCCAAGCAGAGGAGGTACAGCGCCCAAGGTACGCTCCAGGACCAGGTCTGATCCAGA